GGTTGATAGTGGTTAATACTGTAGTGATCAATAAGTGATTAATACTGGCTAATAATGGTTCATGATGGCTAAAAATCCATATGGTTAAATGGGAGATCCCCAAAATGGATGGTTCATAATAGAGAATCCCCCAAAAGTGGATATATAATAACTGGGAGTATCCCCATGACTTTGGAAATCTTCACATGTGAGCAAAGGGAAATGATACTTAGTTGGGAGTTTATTGAACATTTAAACATCTATTCAGAGATTTTTTCTTCAGGTTTTTTTGGAAGGGTTTATAAAATCCAATAATTCTGGATAAATTCAACCACCTGAAATCCTTCCAAATTTATCGGGGTATAACAGGGACTTAATCCATTTTAACACCAGTTTATCCAAATTTAACCAACATTTATACAAACATAAATTTCCTGGACTTCTGCCCCAAGGCAGGGAGGGATTTCCTGTTTTTCACACAATTTCACCAAATAACGTGGTTTTCACTTTTCACCCCAAAAATGCAATTTATGGAATTCAAATTTATTCAATTTTACATCGAGGAACACACTTAATTTATCAGATTTCATCAGGACTTTAAGCAAAGATATATACCCCTATTTATTTCCTGGAGAATTTTCTTTGAACTATGTATACATATATATATATACATATATATATATACACATAAATATCCATTGGAGATATATGTAAAAATCCAATCAAGAATAGCCTGGTTGATTACTTATACTACCTAATGATTGGGGATTGTAAACTAACCCATAGTAGGGACATCTATCAACCAACTAGGATCATGAGAGTTGATAGGGGTTTTCTTAATGACTCAATGTCTCAAGTGGATATATGCACATATATATATATATAACAACCCCGAAATAGATAGACAATTTAGAGACCTGGAAATATGACGTAAATAATTGAACATATAATCGAAGTACGATCCTGGAAACATCAACTTCTGCATTTTTGTGGGGGTTGCGATATATATATATATATATTATACATACAATCATCCTGAAGTAGATAAAGTATTTCATTTTGAAATGTTACCCCAACTTTCGCAGGGATGTTTTGAACTATCCATATTCTATATACTCCAGGATGTCTTTATGTAACCATTATATAGGGGTTACATCCCAACTTATAGAGGTAATTGCCATGGCCATAGCTACTTATAACAACTTCAAGTGGTTAGTTATTTCACAAAATGCCTCGGTAATGATTCCATTTCATCATTTCTACTCAGGATATTGCAATATGAGATTTCAAAATGACAACCCAAGTTTTTCGTGAACTATTGGAACTAACATGAACTAACTATTTATTACGATTTGGAGAGGTAAACCTGGGATTGCTGGGAATCTGTCAACAAGTTTTGTTGTGGCTCCATCCCAGGGGATGGTTCCCACCCTGAAAAATGTGTTTTTTTGGTGGGTGAAATCCTCAGTTTCGATGATTTTTGGGATGGATTGAACCTACGGATCGGTCGGCAGTACGGCTGTCTCGGCATGATTGATTATACTGTTTTCTTGCCTCTTTGTGTGATCATATGATTCTTGGAGGTTTATTTTATGACTAATTTCCGAGAGACCAAGGTCCGGTTCATGTATTGCTGACCATTGTGATACTCCAATCCTGAACCAGTCCTTCAGTGTAACTCTTCATCAGGGATTGCATGAGTTCAGATCTAGCTTTGACATATATCCATCTCCCAACATCTCCTAGCCCTACTTGCAGATTTTGCAGGAGTCGGGGTACTCTTCAGCACTCCTTTTTCCCGAATTCAGATTGGAGCAGAGGCTTCAGTCTATTTTCGTTTGCACGTTGCCACTGTCGTTAAATCATCGGTGGGAAATTGCAAAGCTTGGAGCCCCGCTCCGGGAGAGATGTCTAGGATCTCCGGAAGATTCAGAAGCGTTGTATGACATGTTTGCTCGCTGGTTTCAACTGGTTTCAACTTTTCGTGTGTCAGAATGACATACGGTTGTCATCTCGCTTGAACCTCGACTTGCAATGGGGTCATTGCGCCGGATGAGACTCTTCCATGGCGAAAGGCCTTCCGGTCGCTTTTCCAAGCCCCTGCTTGAAGCTTGTCGATCAAGTGCAGATCTAGTAATCTAGCTATTTGCGAACTTTTGATAGATAGACAGATTAAATTACTGCGCCGCGCAATTCTACCTCTTTCAAACCACAGGAATATCTCCTTTCAGATCTTCTAAGTCATGTTGAAGCATCCATGTCCAGAACGGGTCTAGTTTGCCGGTGCTGGAGCCGCAAGCAGCCGATTTGCCGCTCTTGTTCGTTCTGCTCCAAACGGCCCACGGTGGCGGCCAAGCGAAAGGGCAAGCCAATACCGCGGGGCGGAGCGCATCACTACAGCATCTAGTGCTCGCAGTGAACCAGTGGAAAAATATCGGAAAGGCTTGCCATGGCTTGTGTCCTTAAATGGTCCATGATTCAGGTATGTCCAAAAATATCACCATCATGCCGTCATCACAGCATTTTCAGATGTTGAAACCTTGCTGTAGGAAGATGACCCTTTTTTGGCGAAATCATGATGTGAAAGCCAGAGTTCTCTCAAGCATTTGTAGCTTATCTTGGCTTCGTGGGTGGTTTTAACATGTTTTAACTATTGGCTATTTGGGTTTTGAATTGTGATGGGTTGAAAATGGTTGAAACCACCTTCAGCTGGTATTTGGTGGTATTTCGTTCATACTATGTCAATGTGAAGGGGTTACATACTACATAAATACATGTGTATATATATATATATATACCAGTAGTACCGCACAAGGCGGTGGCGGAAGTTTCAAAAATAGGAAGCCTATAGGAGAGGTTGGTTGTTGTGACTCACGGATGGCAGAGCGAATCCACTGATGGACCGACAGGTGGTTGGAGCTGTGTTTTTTGGAGTGGTTGCAATGGTTGCAGTGGTCACCTGGTCGGTCACCTCACCCACAACTGCTGGATGTAGTGTGGTGTAGTGCAGTTGTAGTTGTAGTTGCAGTCGTAGCTGTAGTTGTAGTGTAGTGGAGCTGTAGCTGTAATGTAGTGTGATTAGTGTATTTGCAAGTGCAGTTGCAGTTGTAGTCGTGGTGTGGTGTAATTAGTGTAGTGTAGTGCAGCGTAATGTCGTGTAGTGTTGTATAGTGTAGTGTGGTATATTGAAGTCTTGTAGTTGTAGTGTAGTGCAGTGTAATTAGTGTATTGTAGTGTAGTATAATGTAGTGTAGTGTAGTGTAGTATGTGTAGTGTAGTATGTGTAGTGTAGTGCAGTGTAGTGCAGTGCAGTGTAGTGTAGTGTAGTGTAGTGTAGTGCAGTGTAGTGCAGTGTAGTGTAGTATGTGTAGTGTAGTGTAGTGTAGTGTAGTGTAGTGTAATGTTGTGGTAGTTGTAGCAGTAGTTGCAATTGCATCTGCAGTTGTAGTTGTAGTGTAATGCAATGTAATCAGTGTACCGTAGTGTTGTGTAATGTAGTGTGGTTGTAGTTGTAGTTGTAATTGTATTTGTAGTTGTAGTGTGCTGCAGTGTAATTAGCGTCGTGTAGTGTAGTTGCAATTGTAGTTGCAGTTGTGGTAGTAATGGTTGTTGCAGTTGTTAGTGTAATTGGTGTAGTGCAGCGTAATTAGATGTAATGAGATGTAATGAGTGTAGTGTAGTGTAATTAGTGTAGTGTAATGGTAGCGTAGTATATTTGTATTTGTAGTTGTAGCAGTAGTGTAGTGTAGTGGTAGTTGTAGTTGTAGTTGTTGTAGTTGTACTTGTCTGTCTGTCTATCTGTCTATCTGTCTAAAAACGCAGCAATTCTGCGAGACTTCCTCAATTTTTGAACTTGACAACATCAAAAACGAAACAATTCTGTGAGACTTCCTTAATTTTTGAACTTGACAACATCAAAAAATGAAACAATTCTGCGAGACTTCCTCAAGTTTTGAACTTGACAACATCAAAAACAAAGCAATTCTGCGAGACTTCCTCAATTTCCGAAGTTGACAACATCAAAAACAAAGCAATTCTGCGAGACGTCCTTCAAAAATAGAAAATTGAGTGCAGAGCTGTTGGCCTCGTACCAATGCGTTTTGCGATTTTTCCACTCCATCTGTCTAAACTATTGCTCTTGCCACGAAAAAGTGATGCCAGGTCATACGAAGTGCTGCGCCTGTCACGCAAAATCATCTCAGCAAACCTGAAGATCTGATGCTCCAAAATGCAACCTCTCTCAGGAAATCAGCGCCCGGACCTCCTAACAGCTCTGATGAACATGTCTCTTGTACTGGGCCTGCCACGGAAAATGCATTTTTGCAGATCTTTGCAGATCCTCTTCAAATGTCCCACGCCTGCCATCGTTTTTGGAAATGCTACAAACCCTCACGTTTAAGTCACGTTTTGCTCACTTTTGACAAGGTGCACAATCCCTTGCGCCTGCCATGCAAAACGACATCTGAACGTCCAAAAGTGCTCCGAACCCCTCAGTTTTTTGCACTTTTGACTCGGCGTGCACTTTTTCGACATCTCAACTCTCAACTTCCAAAAGTGGTCCGAACCTGGTGTGCTTTGTGCATTTTGACTTCGAAATGTGCTTCGCGCCACAACAGCGTACAATTTTTTATCTCTCATCTGGCCAGCTGGCTCCGCACCCGCCGCTTTAGCGAGCCTACTTTTCGACCCTCCGGAGCGACAAATCTTTGGACAAACACAAAGTTTCGCGACTTTCCTACCTTTTTGTGCACCTGGATCTTCTTTCTTCTGAGACTTTCTCTTTCTTCTTCTCTTCTCTTCTATGACTCTTCCCATCTCTGCTTTTCATCTGTCCATATTGTCGGAAGTTTGACTTCTAAACTTCCTTCGATTATATATGTATATTCAGGCAATATACGACGGAAATAGTATCATTGAAACACACATTATCTGATAGATTTTTTTTAAATACACATTCGCCCCGAGATGTTTTCAACCAGGCCTGTTTACGGTTGGCTTCCACTTTTCCGGGTCCTCTGCCAAGGTGTTTCTTGAGCCAAGAGCTTTACCGCAGGGCCATTGAAGCAGCAGACTCGTGCCTCAAGTGGCTTGGTCGTGGGGTTCTTGTCTTTCCAAATTCCTTCACTTCGTGCGATCCCCGCCGAAATATCAACATTCTGACACAAATGCTGGCAGGCATTGATGTGTCTTGACATTTCTTCTGACATAGCTTCGTAGTCTAACATTTATCCTGACAGATATTCAGAAATATAGTCTGAACTGTGTTCATCCATCCTGACATGCACTCTGACATGTAGCCTGACATATAGTCTGACATGTAGTCTGACAAAGTCTGACATATATCCGGGTTACCCCAACGGTAAATGATTGCAGTCTACCTCCTTCACTGAGCTAAGTTTTCCTCTTGTATCTAGGCAGTTGGAAGCCGCCCTGTATTCTGACCTACGTATGTTGGGACATAAACCCAGGTGCAAATTCTGACATACGGGGGGGTCCCAAAAATTTGGGTTCGTACCCCCAAATCATCCTAAATTAAACTATTGTAATATTGAAACCCATGGTGACTTGGTGACCCCCATTTCAAGAACCCCCCATATATTCTGAAATCAAATCTGACATATAGTCTGACGTTTGGTCTAAGTAAAACCATTAATTACGCAAAAAAAAACTGTAAAGAGAAGAAAATCAGCTAAAAAACGCTACAAAGGCCCACATGACATCACACACACACACTGGTTACTGTTTTTGAGAGGAGGCTGAAACACATTGCAAACAACTTAAGTTGTGATATTTTTTTGATATTTTCTGAGCATTTTCTTGTTTCTTCTTACACGCGTAATGGTAAAAGTAATGATTCTTTTAGCTGTGCAACATGTGATTCGCATCTTTCTATCTTGTGAAACAATGAGAAACATGTTTTCCTTCAAACATGTGCAAAACATATTTTCTTTTGAAGTGTATCCCACAAACAGTTTTCGGTTTAAACATATGCAAAAAACAGTTCCCTTTAGAAAACACACACACATAATACATATATATATATACTATATAAGAAAACAATTTTTCCTTCCGAACATGAAGGGTAGACACCTGGCGAGACATACCCTCGGCTGGGAGGGATCCTCTAGAGCTTCATGGGGTTCTCTTCCTAAGCCTTCAATGGAATCTTACAATGGATTTCATTGAATATTAATTCAGCTTCAATACTTTTATTAATACTTTTTTATCTGTTGAGCCCTTCCTAGCCTGTCGAGCTTCCGCAGATCGGTTTGAGCTGGATGTACCAGCTCACATCAGTAAGCTGAAAGTCTCTTAAGAAAAACATCATTTGCGCCAAGAATCATATACTATATTTTTCTTTGATAGCCAGTCTGTCAGTTCGTCTGGATTCCAATGAAGCAAGCTGCTGTATATGCCCTTATCATTGGCATGGCCACTATGCTCTCAAGTGCAGCTCTAAGCCACTGTCATTCCCTGGCTTCAAAATAGAGTCAGCACTAGCACGCAGGTTTTCAAAGCTGCCTACAAAGGTGGCAATGCATGTGCAATGATTACTTGATGATTTGTCAACATCCCTCAGGTTGATAATTCGAGAGATAGCTCGGACAACCTTGTTTTACAGTAATTAAATCTGATAATATCCTTCAGCATGCTCCCATTTCATACCACTAGAATCCCCACATACATATATAATCATTTATTATATATATATGTATGTATGTACATATTTATATATGTACAATTATATATACAATATGCAATCCATGGAAGTTGCCTAAAATCATCTACCCCAAATCATCGTCGTCCGAGGTTGGATCCAGACCACCTGAAGGCGCTGCACAGGCGGAGTTGGTAACACCCAGAGATGCGCGACGCGACGCGACGCGACGCGATGCGACGGTTGTAGTCATTGGTTGCACGTAACTGTTACAGAACTGTTACATAACTATGGAAATAACAATGGAAATCAGAATTTTAACATGAGTAACAACCTCGATGGAATAAGCTATGAGTAAACTGACTGCTACATAACGAACTGGAAATTCATTGTTTGTGGGAAAAATAAGCGATTTCTTAGTAACTACTAACTATCTACCTATCTACCTATCTACCTATCTACCTATCTATCTATCAATCAATCATTTTAATCTAATCTAATCTAATCTAATCTAATCTAATCTAATCTACCTATCTACCTATCTACCTATCTACCTATCTACCTATCTACCTATCTACCTATCTACCTATCTACCTATCTATCTATCTATCTATCTATCTATCTATCTCTGTTTATATATATATATACACATATATATATATTGATGTACAGCAATCTGTGTGTCCATCCGAGGCCTGGCTTTTGAGGCGATCCATTCCTACCAAGCCGCCCTACTGGATCTCCAGGCCCTTCGAAGGCGATTCTCCACCGGGATCCCGGCGGTGTGGGGAAGGTGATTTCACCATGGAAAAGTATGGCAAAACATGGGGAAACTATGGGAAAATATGGGAGGATATGGAAAGAACATAGGAAACATATCGGAAGAAATGGGGAAACATGGGAAAACATTGGATTCCATGATTTATCGAGTTTTGAGATGTTTAACCATCAAACATGTGGGGATATCAATGGATATGAACCGTAAATGAGGGTTGGTTGATGATTAGGTCAGGAAATCATTGTGGATTATCATAAGTCTAACTCGTGAACTGGCTTTTGTTGGGATTTTACAAAAGCAAATTTTGTACAAAATTGTTACATTGTATACTGTATCACACATGTCAAGTGAATATGTGTGTATATAATATACACGCATACATACCGTATATACCCTTAACGTCGTACATGCAGTTGATACCGTTACCAGTAAAGGTACCTTCTGGTAAACTAACATACCTATTGAAAATGGCAATTTATAGTTGATTTACCCATTAAACATGGTGATTTTCCATAAGTTATGTTACCAGAGGGTCATCTGGCGTTGTGAAAGCCAGCATTTCTCATAGGATGATAAAGGAAACTTTAGGGAACAACACACGGTTATCGATTATGGGCGGGAATCTATTGACTGCTGTATAAGGATATAGGGAACAACAAAAACTAGAGTGGAATGACATGGAATAATTCAAAAATTATAAGATCTTAGCGATAATAACATGGATAACATGGGGCAGTGGAAAAAAATATGGGAAACTCATCGACTTTCATCGTGAACAAATCGGTGCGCGGATCTGTGGAGGCTTCAAGGTCTTTCCATTGAGACTTTGGATCAGCGGGAAGCAGCGCTGAAAGAGAAACAGGCCAGGGATCACAGCTGCATGAGCCTTGAACTTACCGATGGTGACACTTCCATAAATAGATAGTTGTATATGGTATAAATGGTATAACTGTATAACTCAAGCTTAAAGACGTTTAAAGAGCCCAAAATACCAGGTTACCAGTTGTAGATAGTTGTAGATGGTTACTTAACTGGGGGTGATCATTTCATGAATACGGTTATCTCTTAATAGGACATTCATAGTAAGATTTTTGGCTTCTTACGGCGTCCATGTTAGCTGAATACTGTTCAAAAAAGTCTGTTTGAGTGTCCATGTTAGTGGGCCTGTGACATGTGTCACACTAACATGGACGCTTCCAACACTGGAAAAAGTAAGAAAAACCACTAACATAGTACGTGCATCCATTTTCTCAATTTTCAGCGTCCAAGTCAGAGTACTGGAGAGTAAGTGGTATTTCGAGCCATAACCGTCGTGTTTTCCTAACATCCGGTAGATTCTCACTATTTTTGCCTTTGATCTCTGATATAAATCCAAACATCATCCTCACGCTCCACGAGTATCCAAAGGTGTCCAAGCTTGGTAGCAAGTCCATTAGATTTGCCATTTGACGAGGCTCCATTTTGGCACGAAGCCTAAACCCACGTGCCACGTGGGGGATGATCTAGCTGATTTTCTAGTCGCAAGGGCTTTAGAATATGTTGGTATTCAGACTTCGGCTATTTTCTTGATTTACATGATCATTTTGCTGAATGGGAACAACATCTTTACAAAGCAATATATACAACAATTTGATTGCCAATCATCGTATCTTCAATTATCTACCAATCAGAAAGCGTTGACAACAAAAAAGTAAGCTTATTAATTACATTATATGACATGATATTACATCAATATCAATATCTGTCAAAACTGTGAGTTCGCCATGTTTTTGGCAGAGTTCCAGAGGGCACCACCGCAGCGGAAACTAGGCCAACGTCGAACGTTCGACAAAGCAAGAGGAGGAAGACAAAGCTGATGATCCAGTCAGCATCCCTGGAGGGAGCGAGCCAGGGAGCTACGTTTGGAGTTTCCCAAGCACGTCACAGAAAACAACCGTTTTCTTTTTAGCCAGGACATCTAACAGTATCTATCCGAGACCCGCGAAATGTTTGGCAATTTCAAAGTTACCATGATCAGTAACACTATTATCATTTTCAGGATGAATATTGGTAGCAAAAAGGTTTTGCAGACCGATTGGTTTCTTTTTTGAAGGGCACAGTAATTGGTTTCTGAGCCCACTTTCACATGGATTCAACCGACGTCCTGACAACCATGGGTAGGACCAGGGCAAGACTGCCCACACCGGTTGATTGGTGGTTTCCAAAAACATGTTCATATATGTTCCCATTGTCAGTCCATGGCTTCTGAGAAGAATCTCAGACTATGACTAGAATGACAAGTTTTTTTTTGGGTGTATTTGTTGTACACACCAATCAAAAAATCTATCATGAGCTATATCTAGAGGAGGGAAGATTGTCACATGTAAATCTCTACACATACAGAGATAACCAGAAAAAAAAACACGAAAGATGTTTACATAGATAGGATCGTCACAATATGTATGTCAATATAACATACATATATATATATATATATTGTATTTTTGCCAATGAATATCTTATGTATTTTATTTGTATACATCCTGACTTCATCCCTTGATGTTGAGGATGGGGATGCTGGGATGGCAAAAGCTCCAGTCATGGGGTTCCATGGCCACGTGTGGCGAGAGGGTAGATCCATACATGTCCACTATTTCACTATTGGAGCATTTAAAAACATATAAAACCATATGAAAACATATAAAAACATATAAACCAGACTGATTATAAATACATTTCCCATATCACCACTTGCGACCTGAAACAAATGGGGCCCAGTCATGAATCCCATATCACCACTCAGGTGGGGATGGCCATGACGAATGTCAAGGCGGCCCCTTTTGCGGCCGTTTGGTGATTTTTCTTGGAGAGATCTGCAATCCAGAAATTCATCACTGGCAATCATGAATAATCATGAATAATCATGAATAATCATGAATAATCATGAATAATCATGATATCATATTTATATTTGTTTGCAATGAAGTGATAATGAACTTGGTCAATTTTTGGGTCGGCCAACATATTGACACAGCATTGGTCAACAGTTGCCATGGCTTTGGCAGGAACGCTTCGATGAGATTTGCGACAAGTACGACTTGAGAGACGGAGACGCGGCAGGGGAGGCAGGGGTGCAGTTCCACTTATTGGTGGCTTTGTTTTTCCCCGATCATATGAAGTAACCGGTTAACCCCCCCCCACTGCCCCACTTGAATGAATATATGGCTAGGGCCCCCAGAATGAATAGACCCAATGAATATATAGGTTTGGATTGAAGGGCTAAGAAATATATTGGTGAGTTACGTACTCATAGAAGGCTGGAGACCTCTGTGTTCTAATTGTTGTTGACGTCGATGCCCATCGTATACTCTAATCTTTTTGGATGCATCAATTCCTGGGCTGATATGGCTGCTGGTGTCCTTGCTGTTGTTTGTTAACTTATAATGTGGCATCATTTGTTGATTCTATATGAAATCTATATGATTCTATGACATCAATCCATTATCAAACCCTTCTCGTGAACGCAACCTTTCCTCTGACCGAGCTTTCGTTGTTGGTCTAATGGGGTCAAGTTTTTTGTGATAGTACGATAGTTTTTGACCATGCGTATCTTATGTAATTAAACTCAGCTGAGCATATTGAGTTCGTTACTTGGGGGATAGGTATGGATACGGTATGGATCAAGTGTAAGATGATGCCTACATGTCGTTTTTTGATATGCAACATCATCCAAGCCAAGAGAAAAACAAATAATCAACAATCATCGCACAACAGGCCAGTTAACATGATTGACCTTACACATCATAAATCATTTGTTGATGTTTCTACTGTTTCTTTAACGCATTTTAAGTCGGGAAGGTCCAGCGCTGGACCCTCTGTTGAAGTCGTCCGCAGGTGGCAGATTGGCTCACTTCCGGAGAGTGACACGGCTGAAGTTATTAGGATGAGCCAAAAAAAGTTATCAGATTTCATAAGTTTTGATGCATCCCCACATGAGCTTCTTGAAGAGATAATTTTCCAGCTGGACTCTGCACAGTTCTGTTTTTTCGGGCCAAGTTCCATGGATAGTTTTGGGCCGGGGATTTTGCAAATAGAGCTGTTCAAACAGAAAAAACAAGCCGATTCAGCCGCCCACAAGAGATGCAGATTATCGGATAATGTCGGATATGAACGTAAAAAACACGCCATCACTTGTTCAAAACTAGCAGTTTCTATCGAAGTCTGCACAAATTTACATTTGCAAAGCGGCTCTCAAATACCCTCAGGTAATCAAACATGTCAAGGAAAATCCAGACATGTATTTCAATCTATTTTCCCCAATTCAAACCACTATTTTGAGGGGATGTTCCCATATTTTCGCATTCAAACCATTATTTTTGGAGCATTTTCGCAGATTTTTGCATTCAAACCACTATTTTTGAAGGATTTCCAATGGCATTTTGTTCATTCCCATTTCGGGGATCCCTCGCCTTTGTTTCGGGAGCTGTTTCGCAGGTGGGAGGTCACGGCGAAACGTGTAGCGCAGCGATTCAAAATGGAGGAGGAGGATGCACAGGTGCAGTTTGCCATTGAAACTCACCATGTTTGACTGGAAAATCATCTGTAAATGATGATAAATTGATTATAAATGGACATTTTCAAAAAAAAACATTTAAGTAAAGTTTGATAAGATATAAATGATTATAAACCATCATCTATATATCTGTAGTTAAACATAGTTAAACCAATGTCGAATTACCTTAAAGGGCGGAATGGGAGTCGCATGGCCTGCTTTTAGGTTTTTTTCCGCCCATGGCGAGTGGCTGGGATTTCCCGAATCTTTTATTCCATGAAGGGTATCCCTCTGGTAATGACGAACATTTTTCTATGGAAAATCACCTAATAGAAATGTCGTGAATTTTTCCTATGAATAGCATGGTGATGATTTTCCATAGTTATGGGACAGTTTACCAGAGGGTATCCCTGAATGATGTCCAACTGATATCCCTTACAAATCCTTGTAACATCCTGTGAATTTGAATGTTCATTTGATTTCAATGCAAGATGGCAAGTGTGGCCAGGAACCCTGGTCATCGGATCCCTGATAAATGTTTCTTGGTATATCTT